CTTGCAGGGTGGGGACATTGTTTGACGGGGTGCTCGCCGCCGCGACCGGTTTTTCCTGACGGCCGCCGCCATTGCAGATCTCACTTCGCATAGCGACGGGAGCAAAGAAGGAGCTGTGGCCGCTCTGTCATATACTTTTTTAGGGAAATGACTGGGTGCTGCGTGCCCATGTGCACGAACAACTCCAGAAATGGTTGGAAACTCTACCATTTTCCGACAGAGCCCAAAAGAAGGCTGCTATGGATGGTGAAGATTAAGCGAGACAAGTGGCAGCCTACGAAGTCCTCGTGTGTATGCAGTGTGAGTATCCCGACATGTGTTCTTTTCTCGTCGAGAACTTTGAAACTTGTTTTTTTAAATGTGTATACGTGTCTGTGGGTCACTTTGTCGGTGCTGTAAACGCTTCACGTCTAAGTTGCAGTTTTTCTCTCTTTTTTTGCGATCTCTAAAAGTGCAGCTATGGAAACGTGTGGCGCAGCCGCAGTATTTGAAGTTTGTACCAGTTTTAGTCACTATATGTATAAACAAAATAGGCTGCTTGTTATTAAATTGCGTATTTACAGAAAAGTGTTTTTCATTCGTTTATTGCAAATCACGAAATTCAATAAAAGTTGTGTGGTATACTGTGTCTTTCTAGTAATTCTGTCTAGGCTAAGCTAAGCTAAAATTCATGGTTCATAACGGACTTACAGGCACATTTTGAAGCAAGCCATTTCGAGCAGCACCGAGCTGACCAGTGGATAAAACTGAAGCCGAACGCTGTGCCAACGGTGTTCCCTTTCAGGGGTAAGTTACTGTTTCACTGTGCGTCAAAGATTCTGTATGAACCTAACAGGTGGCAACAGTACAAGGCTAAAATGATTTAGTTTCAAAAATTAGGATGATCCGTGAATTCCTCGTTTGAGGATATTAAGAAAGTCGGGGTACGTGCCTGCGACCTGAGAAAAGGCATATGTCTGCAACCTATAATACTGCTAAAATCCAGTACAGGCCTGTGATTAGAGCTGGCTACCTTGTAATACTTGCAGCTTGTGACTGTCCTTTTTTGCACTGCAGGCTTGCCTCCACAAAGGAAGGCGCCAAAGGACAGGGCAGGACCTGCTGTGTTGCCTGATGCATGCCAAGAAACACGCGGTGACAACTCTACGGCCATTAATTGTACGCCACTCACAAGTGCACAGGCGAATTTAAATTCACGCACAGACAGTCTTGGCGCACAGCAACCGCAAAGCTGCAATTCTCAGACGCCTGATTCAGTACCGCACATTATGGAAAGGGAAGAAGTTGTGATCTCGGCCGATGCACCTGACGGGGCACGTGAAAACAAGCAGTTAAATAAGCAGCTCTCTGATATGGGCAGAAAATACACTCAGCTACATCAAGTCCATCGGAAAGCCACCTCAACCATTCAAGCACTAAAAAAACAGGTGAAAAAATTGGAAACCAAAATGGAATTATTCGGACAGCGTTTGAAATTCCTCAATGATGACCAGCTGCAGGCTCTTGGGCGCCAGAGTAATAAGGGAAGCACTTGGTCTGCAGAAACAATCAAGCAGGCGCTTCAGATTAAGTTTTCCTGTGGAAAAACTGGTTACCAGACACTAAGAAATCTGGGCTACCCCTTGCCATCCGGAAAAACCCTTGCACGTCGCCTTCAGGGCCTCAAGTTTCTTCCCGGAATTTTGACGGAAGTCATCGATGTTCTCAAAATCAAAGCAGAGAACATGCAAGAAATTGAAAAAGACTGTGCTTTGTTCTTGGATGAAATGGAGATTGCTCGCGGGTACGAGCTCGATCGCGCTGAGGATGTGGTGTTGGGGGGGCAAACTATGCCAGAAAATCCAGACGAACCTGCACATCACGCACTAGTGTTCATGGTAGGAGGCCTGAATACGAGATGGAAGCAAGTGATTGCCTACCACTTCACCGGAAGTCATGTAGAGGGTAGTATCCTCAAGGACTACGTCATGAAGATAGTGCAGCTCTGCGCGGAAATCTCTTTAAGAATCCGTGTCGTCACTTGCGACATGGGGGCTTCTAATCGGGCTATGTGGCGCGAGCTCGGATTCTCCAGCCACAGGAATTCCATTACTGTATGTTCAGTGCCTCACCCCTGTCTGGAAGACAAAGAATTGTTTTTCACAGCAGATGCTGCACACGTGCTGAAGAATGTCAAGTCACAGTTGCTTTCATCGGAAGTATTCTTTCTGAGTGATGCAACAGTATGCCAGCACAATCTGCCATCAAAAGAAGTGAACGTGGACCATGTGCGCAGTGTAATTAAGTATGATGCTGAACGAGAGCTGAAAGTCGCCCCGAGGCTCTCAGAGTTACACATTTCGCGAGGCCATTTCACAAAAATGAAAGTGGGAGTTGCTGTCCGCTTCTTCAGGGAAGCTCCTGCAGCGATTCGGTACCTAATTAAAGAGGACGCGATAGAGCCGGAGGCAGAGACAACAGCTTGGTTTCTAGAATTAGTATTCAACTGGTACACGCTAATGTCTTCCCGCCACCCATCAGTTGCTCTCAGCCTTCGAGACATGCGGAGGTACCACGAATCAATTGAGCTACTGAACTCGGCCCTCGAAGTTTTTCAAGGAATGAAGATGGGAAGCAAGGCACAGTGGAAGCCTTCGCAAGCAGGTTTACTAATAACAACAAAAGTCGTTCTTCGTCTCCAAGACATTCTCTTGCGCAGTGAAGGATACGAATTCTTCCTCACGAGCAGAATCTTGCAAGACTGCCTCGAAAATTTGTTTTCGGTGGTGCGCATCAGGAAGCCTGTTCCTAACGCATATGACTTAAAGTGTGCCCTGAAGCTTGTGTGCGTGAGTCAGTTCCTTCATGCACCCGGAACGTCAAGCTACGAAGTCGACGATGCTAAGTACCTCGCCGACATGCTTGCAAAAGGCAAACAAGAGCACGGGGAGGTGGAAGCTGATGTCATTGATGACTCGGAAATTTTGTTCATTGAAGAACTTCAAGAAACGAATGCAACATCCTTTTCTACATCGGCGGCTTCCTTTTAAAAGGTATGCTGAGTGTTGTAGCGGGATGCGGGCATTGTAATTCTGCCTTGTTAGGCTCAACTGAAAGCGAGCACGCAACTCTGACTATTCTGAAGGAGTACAGGAGTGAAGGTGGCAACCTCACATATCCCAGCAAGGATGTTTTGCTGACACTCAAGTCGTGTGAAGAGCATTTCAGGGGCATCATAAGTTGGAGTGAGGGCTTGCTGCGCTTAAGGTCCCCGTTGAAGGCCGTGACCGATTATTTGAACGAGATGGTGCGCCCTTGCGTAAAGACTTGCTCCGAGCACAGTGACGCCGTAGCAAAACTCCTTATTGCGAATTATGCAAGACTGAGGCTTCGCGTGCATTTGCGCCACGTTAGTTCAAACGGCGTCAATGAACACGGAAGCAAGACGTGCGCTGGGGTAAGCCTTCCGTGACCAGCCGAACTGGACCAGTCACTTATAAATTTTATTATTTTTTCTTTCAGAACACTTATTGTTTGATTAAAATATTTTGAGTTCATTGTGAACTGGCTAACCTCCCTGTCCTTTCTTCATCCTCCTCCTTAAGTTCATAGACATTTTTCTTATTTGTTATACAATATCACATTCTTAGATAAAAACAGCGTTGTGATCTTTAAGCTGACTAAGGTTGTGATCTTTGGAGAATGTTTATGGTAAGTTAATATTATTGCGGTCGAAGCAATACCGACACAGCGTCACAGAGGCAGAATACGAGAGTGATACTTCTCGGATAATTAGATTGCTCGCTTACATATATCTATGGAAAGTAGAAAAACTGAACAGGTATAGGGCATCAAAATCGTTATTACTGCATTTCATCTTGTATTTTCCAATAACTTAGTAAGATTTTTTTCTCAGTGGTCACATAAAAACGAGAGATTCAATTGATGTTTACGCTGTTTCACTATCTCAACCAGCTATAACAGAAAAATAGCTGTGTAACAAATCTGAATCTCATTCCCGCAAGATTATTCAGAGCTGCGAGGGCACGCAAGGCGGGGGAAAAAGCAGGATGAAGTAAGTTCAACGCGTACAATGCGAGCACTACTGAGTGGCTGGCACGCTGCACAGCCACTGAGGAGTGCGGTGAGTTTAGGTAACAGGAAAAGGCGTGCGCTTCATGAATTAATGTAGATTTATCCTGCAAACAGTCTCCAATGACAGACGCACATATTCAGACTGCTTTTTTATAGCGCGAAATACCATTTCTCGCACTAAACTCTTCTCAAACTCTCCTCATACGCGCGCGCAGGCAGTGTGTTTCGTTGGGGTGAGATATGTAATGGCGGACGCTCTAGCAGACGACGCGGTTGTCCCCACCCTGTACGGAGCGGCGGGCGAGGGAAACCATTCAGGCACCCTACTTTTTAGTGTACCGTTGCTAGGGGCATTATCAGCGAGTCAGTAGCGCCCTTTTCTCTTTGTTGCCGACAGCGGCTGGTGCGAACACCACATCGTTGGACTACACTGATGCAGTCGATGGTTTGACGATGGTCGGAAATTCCCGACCGGACATACCCTGTGCGACGCTCCAGGACTTCCTGCACCCCACCGACCGCGAAGATTGTTGCCGCACTGCCCAATCGACCCTACTCAGCGCAGCTTTTTCAAGCCATGCACTCGCCACGCTTAACCGGCGCTTCTCTTCGCGAGTCACAGCCTTTTCTTTTTCTCTCGTTTCCCTTTCCGCTTTTTTCTTTCCTATTTTTCCAACCATAATCTTTTCTCCTTCAATCTCTCCTTTATCCTGATCCGTTACGAGTGTTTCGGTTAAAGCGTCCTCACTGAGAGACCGTTTATCCTGCAATCCTCCATCGCTTTCCTACCGATTCTTAGCCTTTTCCTGCAACCCCTGCCCCCTTTAAAAAATAAGAATCAACACCACACTTCAAGGTCATCATGCGCGTGTTCTCTTTCATTCTGCTCAAGGTAGTGCATATTAAAGTTAAGTATACACGCCTCATGATAGATTAAAACCATGTTTTTATTCCGAGTACGGGGAGTAATTAAATGCCAAAAGAACAGATGATGACTTGAGTATCTAGCACATGCACAGGAAATGAATTGTATAATATAGCGTAACATCATCTAATGCAAGACTCATGAATAACATTGATGTCATAAGCGCTGACAAACCACAAATTCCGCGAAGACCTAAAACCATTGCTGGCTTTAAGCACGTCGTCACTATACATATGAATTATTCTTGCCAAGAGTTCTCCGTGATGGTTGAAGCGGTTTGAATTTGTCGCCGCCTTCGTGGCGTTCCGTCATCGGTTGATTCTAGCGGCGGTGACGCAGACCCGGTGTCACTGGCCCTGCGGCTGCCCGCCCGTCGTTTATACGACCAACACTCACTTCTCTTTGGGACGGCACTACCAAGATTCGGCGCACCGAGTGCGAAGACTGCCACGCCTGGAACGTAATTTGCCAATTGCCTAACCTGTCCATCATAATTACGTATAAATAGAGTAAGCAGCAGACGAACACATACACTATTAGGCTGTTATAACCCCAACTGCAAACAGTCTTCAACTCGTGCCATTCAGACACCACCCAGTACAGAGAGAAAATGATCAAAAATATAGTGAGAATTATCAAGCCTGCCGAGCATAAAAAGTCCCACAGCAAAGCTCGCCGCAGCGGCATGCTGCTGTTGTAAACCCACCGGATGAACCTGAGCACGTCGTTGCGTTGGGCCTCCAGTGGGAAACGCTCACCGCAGAGTTCGCAGGAGTCCACCTTCTTCTGGTTAATCCACTGTTCGAGGCAGGACACATGCATGAAGCCTATGGTGCCAGAACATTTGCAAAGTGACAGGAGCGCTTCTTCTTGGTCGCCTTCATGGCAGATTCGGCACATGGGCCCGTTGCTCCCATCCTCGTTGGAGCTATCAGTAGGCGTACCTTGCGAGGCGTTGTCATCCGCGGGTTCATTCTCGGAGCCGCTTACCAGTGCAGGCGCTGGCAGTGATGGCGTTCTATTGTCCTGGGAGCATGTCACCTCGTCCTCTCTATCATTTTGGCTCGAGTTCTTGGAAGCAGGTTGGTCGTTCGCCACAGGTAACATTGATGGCTCGGTGTCACAGGGCAAGGACGAGGGCACGAGGCACTTGTCTTCCCTGGGGGCTGAAACGTGAGGGAAGTTAGTGGGGTGGTATGGCATTCGCGGCGTTTAAGCATTTGCGTGACAAGACGTGCAGCGGTAACTATTTTTACCTGATTGCAGCGAAGCCATGCTTGTGTCCTCTTTCGGATTCACGTGCTGGTCATTGGGCATAGTGTTGTGCTTCTGCGGGCAAAAGGTACGCGAAAGGCTGCACAAAGCAGCTGACACTGGTCTTTGCACAAGTCTCTTCCGTGGTGAAGCGCAGTATGATCGCGAATGCAAAGCTGTGAAAACCAACACCTTCTCGCTTGCATAATGAAACGCTAACTCAGCATATCTTGCAATCTTTCGTAGTGTAACAGCGCGATGAACAACATACAGGCATGCGCAGTATTCGTGTACACCGATTGATGTCGGCGGCTTCTGCCCCCTCTGTAGCCTACATCAAACGTGAAGCTGCTGAGCACAAGAGATGTGTTGATCAGTTTTTTTAATGATTCCGATCTAATCATGATATAGAAGCAGCTGTGCCACAGGGAACTATGACAGCTTCTCGGGCCGCTTATCTGCTGTGCAAGTGCCAAATTCCAGTGTGCCATCACCTAATTTCCATCAGTTTGCAAACAGTAAACATTATAAGCAGCGACACACGTGTGGGCGGTTTTGAGCACGTACATACATGACCCGCATATAGTTGCTAAAACATGGAAATGCATAACCACATGGCCGAACGTCGAGTGCGTTGCCAACTTGTCGCCACGCCTTTATCGAATGGTACCGCTGCTGTTGAAATAAATGACACCACCCAGGTTATATATTGCAAACAATCATGATGGTATAGTGGCTATGGAGCTCGACTGCTAACCCGAAGGACGTACGATCGAATCCCGGCCGCGACAGCAGCATTTCTACATAGGCGAAATGCTATAAAATACCGTGTACTGAGATTTAGATGCATCATATAAATGATGAATATTTTCGGGGCCCTCCACTACCACGTCCCTCATAATCCGATCGCAGTTTTGGGACGTAAGATCCCAACGATTATATTTTCAGACAAGCGTGGTGCGTAGATCAGTGTGCGACTATAAGGTTTACTAAATATTACGTACGTGCAGTTGCAAAAATACGTGGTCGGTGCTGGCACGTTCTCCTTTGATTTGATTGATATGTAGAATTCAGCTTCCCAAAACTACCGTATCATTATGAGAGACGCCGTAGTGGAGGGCTCCGGAAATTTCGACCACCTGAGGTTCTTTAACGTGCACTCAAATCTGAGCACACAGGACTACAGTATTTCCGCCTCCAGCGCGTTCTCTTTTTTCTGTGTCCGTGTTTGCACGCCGACCCTCTATTGCGATGGAACTGCGACAGACAGTGATATGAAAGAAATCCAAGTCTCATGTCGTCCTTGTAGTCCTTGGTGTAGTTCTAAACACGGCACTTAATGCAGCTTCAGTATACCATGAAACCCGAGGACGTGCGCAGCACTGGTAACCCTGCGATTGCCATGGCGCTTGCTACCACGTTGTAAATCGCACGCTTGCCAAGGCGGGGGCACCCTCTCTTGCGCGGCGTGGGTATCAGCTGCGTGTTTCTGAAGCGCTTTTCGTGATTTTACGTGATATATTCCGATTAATTCTTGGTCATTCCTGTAGCCTCTATTGCTCTGTAAACTGTTCGCACATTTCTCACTGATTTTGAGCAATGATACAGTCTTATTTTCGCCTCGCATTGACAACTGCGTGGCCGTGCGACATCAGGCAATTGATGAACGACAAGCCGGGCTCCTTATGTGCTACGCACAAAAAAAAAAGAAAGAAAGAGAAAAAAGAAATAGAAAAGCATCTGGCTATGCTTTATCGGCAACCATCAGAGAACACATGAGGGTTCCGAAAATATCAGCGCCCTCACGAGGCCGTTCCCACCATTAATACCCTCACTCTCACGTGGTTAGGTGAGGAGCTGTGTCAGTACGCTGGAGAGGGTTGACTTCGATAGTGGAGGGTGAGGCTGGCTTGAAATATAACTTGAAAATATAAATATGTCTTGTTTAGGTTGTTTGTCTGAGGGCCTGCTTTTCTGTAATATAAGCTAATAAAATCAAAAGGATTAGACCAAAAAAAGCGTAGGGGACACTATTAGGGGTTTCTTATCTGTACTGTAAAGCTTTCCACTGATACTGAAATAAATTAAAATGAACGAAAAATCACCCTTTCCGTCGGTGAGATTCCAAACAACCTTTTCATAACGCGTCCAATACTACACCATTAAGCTACAACGGAGGGGGCTCCCTCGTCCACTTTTTTGTAAGGCATTTGTAAAGAGGATTAAAAAAATCGCTGGATGGGAAATTATTGCCCATGAGTGAAGCCGTTCCCACTAAAAAATGGTGGCTGCGGCCGCCATCTTACTAGGGGCATGATAAACTAGTGGCGTTTCGCTATTGAAACGAAGCGTTGTGCTCGCACGTGCAAGGGGTTTAATGTGGCTACTTTCTATCGGATCAGATAGGGCTCGAATGGTGTCTTTGTGTTACCAGCTTTTCTTAGTAAGCCTCTATTTCTAGGCAAGTTTTATTGAAGATTAAATCATTAACACTCGTCCCTATGAGTTTTTTTGTCAGGAGCAACTATATTTCAATTTATAATTAACGTAGCATTTACACTAACAGATCACTGTCATTCGATCTCTAAATGGGCACTACTAAAAACAAAAAAGAGCATGTTTCCGAGATCTTTGGTGCGCAAAAGCTGGCTTGTTTTAGGTGGCAAGGCATTGCGGGAGATTTCACTCCAGCAGTTTTTTTTTTCTCCTTTAGGTATTTGTATACCTGTGAGCCCGGAAGAAGAATGGCGATTTGGGCTAGTTGGTTACGACCACTAGCCCAAATCACCCATTTCAGTCACCCCCCCCCCCCTCTGGTTCCCCCCGTATTTTTTCGTAGAATCTAAGAAATGTAGCACAATATAATGATGAAAGAAAACCAAAATTGAAGCGTTGACGTGCTTTCTATAATGGCTTACATTTGACCCCTGGCCTTGCGAGAGGAGAGTTGGGAAGTATAAACAGTCCTTACAATGCAACATCAAGAGTCTTGATGCCACCATTATCACCAAAAACCTTGGTGGCCATAACTCTGCTGTTTAAACAATGACGCAACAGTTACTCTTGAGTTAAAAGCAGATGTTCCCCTCGTTCAGTACATTAGGTGGTTCACATACACACTTGCACACACCTACTATTAGGGATGACCATTAAAATAACTGAAGCCTGCACATGTGGGAACGAGCGCTTGCATACAGAAGGATGGTGATTATGATGTGACATCCGTAATTACGCCAGCTGATGATCGCCGATGCCTCGGTCGGCAACACTATTTCATGTATCCAACAAATGGCATTCAGCCCTCTGACTTGCAGACGGACCTCGAGCAAAAAAAGAGACACGATGTCATTCATTGGTATCTTTTTGATAAGATACATGGAATGGAAAGCGGGCAACTATATTAAAAGAGCCATGTAATACTTTTTCAAGTAGCCATAAAATGAATTCACTGCCACCGCATTTTTTTTTTTAGAATTCGTCCCGCAGAAGCGGAGTTGCAAAGATTGGTTGCACGCTGCAATAGCATTTCCTCTTGTCTCGTTCCAACGAAGGCGGTGAAACTAAGCAGGGAGGGATGCATGGCACGGGAGAAGGAAATATGTCATGCGCCTCTCGTGACCTCAAGCACTTTTTCTCCCTTTTTGTTTTCTTTAATTGGTCGGCTTTTCAGTGTGATCACGCGCGCATGCATGGATAAGTCGCGGCCTCTCACGGTGGCCCCCAAAACAACCGAGTGTGCCACGCTCAAATCAGCCAATAGATGATACTTGGCCTGTGACGCAGGGATTTCTGAGTCGGTAGCGTCATTTGTCGAGAAAAGAGAAAATGATTTTTGAGCTGATTTTGAAAATTTATTGTAAATTCTAGGCTGTGTGCTGCGCTATAATGTTTGGCTCGCGGGTACTCGGGAGCCTCAACTTCCAAACAACATCGTTTTCTGACCATGCTCAAACAGTGTTGCAGGGCTCCCTTAAAACAAAAATTTCAGCTGAAGTGTTTTGCTTCAAACTCGGTAGCGTCGTGATGTTGCGGTGTTCTATACAATAAGTTTGACACACCAACAGATGATTTGTACTATTATCAAATGTTGGTTAGTGCCGAATCGGAAAACTCTTTTCAAAAGACTCATGTTTCAAACCAGGAAATAGTTTAGCTTTTCTTTTCCGTCACCAGAAAAAAAGTCAAGAAAAATGTTATTAAAATAAGTGGTAAAAATGTTCGGGTGCGACGGAGAATCGAACCCCCGCTGTCTGCGAGGCACACATCGTTTCTACGACAGAGGAGCAACATTTATTGAAACTATTTCAGTAAAAAAACATCCAATAAATGTCATAATTTAAGGAGTTTGCTTAACGTATGTAATATTTCGTGGAAGAAGCGTACAAAATCGCCCCAGGCGTCCAAACATCTGAATTACACAACGAGTGGGTGTTTTAAAGGCCCACTCAAAAGCCCTCATACATAGTTATACATCATCGTGAGGAAAGTCATCAACAAAGGGAACAGCTGCGTAGGTTCACATGTTGCCTTTCGGAACCTTACTGAGCTCTCCGCTGATTTGCGAAAGGAAGAAATATAGCGTAGTGAGCCCTTAGCAACTGCATTTACAGTAGGCATTCCAGTTCACTTTGAAACGGTCAATGGTACGCGCACGGTCGTTCGTGTCCTTACGGCATGGTCGAGGCATGTGCCGAGAACCGAACCCAAGCTATGGTAATTCAGATGGCGATGCGCGTGGCGCCCGATCACGCTATCACGTTATACTTTTGTAGGCGAAGTTCAAGCGTCCTCCAAGGTTTTAAAACTTCGAGTGGACACCTTTTTCTAACACACCTGGAGGGTTGAAACTTATGACGATCAGCAAAGCTGTGAAGACGCAGTGTAAACAGTTGTGAAGCGTGCCAAGATTTGCGAACTCTTTAAAGCCGGGGTTCTATTTTTCTGCTGTCAACAGTGATACAAAGCCAACTGTGTTTTGTTTAGTATTGTAAAAGAACTGAAAACCGGGAAATATTTTGCGGTGCAGTTTTGGTTTCCTCTTGTGCGTACTATACCTTTCATGGCAAGTATACAGAGACAGACGTCACCATACTCTTGTCGCATTAGGTCCATGCTCGGTGAACAGCTGACTAGCGCATGCGGACGCACCACGAGGTACTGTTGCTTAAAGGGAGTGTTTCTTACCCTGATTG